TACTCTGGTGCCCTGGTGAGAGGAGCCAGTGCTGCCTGGCAGCCTTTCCTGCTGGCCAGGTGTGGCCAGAGTATGTTGGCTGAGGCCAGAGAGGACCCAGACTCCAGGGGGTTTTGGGGTGAAGTTTTGACCACCCCCTCGCCACTGCCCTGGCTGCTGTCCTGACGTGGGCAGGCGGGTCCTAGCGAAGGGGCTGCTGTTGTCGGGGCTGAAGCTCTGACACACACCCTGGCTCTACAGATATTATCGGGGGACCCATGGGGTCATCGTGGTTTATGACGTCACCAGTGCTGAATCCTTTGTCAACGTCAAGCGGTGGCTTCATGAAATCAACCAGAACTGTGATGATGTGTGCCGAATATTAGGTGAGGCTGGACCTGGAGGGGCAAGGACGGTGGGATGGTGGGTGGCCGGAGGGGCCCTTCAGGGCTGGGCTGACTCTGCTTTGCCTCGAAGTGGGGAATAAGAATGACGACCCTGAGCGGAAGGTGGTGGAGACAGAAGATGCCTACAAATTCGCTGGGCAGATGGGGATCCAGTTGTTTGAGACCAGCGCCAAGGAGAACATCAATGTGGAGGAGGTGAGGCCTGGCTGTGGCCAGGGCGATGGGCCTGGTGCGCCTCTGACTCTGCCCCACCCCACGGCCCCTTCTCCCCACACCTGGCCTGCGCAGGGCATGAGTGACAACTGGAAAACGTCACTGTAGCTGCCATTCACTGAGTGCCTGCTGCATGCCAGGCATTATGCCAGGCCTTTTGAGGTTCTAAGCTTGTATCTCAACAGTCCTGTCTGGTAGAGAAAATAGGGAAACTGAGGTTCCAAGTGTGTAAGGAACTTAAGGAATATCCCCCAGCTAGTAAGAGGCTGAGTCAAACCTTGATCCGCCCCTCGCCAAAGCCTCCAGTCCTCTGCCTCCTTGGCCCTCCCTGTACCACCTTTTCCTGCTCTTGCTTTCCCTGCGGCCTTGCTGCCTACAGAGGCCAGGAGCTGTGGCCTCGTTCAGGTGGGCACCTCCCGCACGCTCCTTAGAGGCTGCTCTGCTTCTGGGGACATGTGCTGCCCAGAGGCGGGAGTGCAGGCTCCTCACCTCGGCTGGGGACTTAACCTCTCTGGGCTTCCTCTGCTCCTGTGCAGACCGGGGGAGGGAGAGCCGCTGCCTTCCACGTGGTGAAGGCTGAGTGCAGAAAGTCACGCCCAGCGCTTGGTGCACGGTACACACCCTGTGGACAGGGGCTGTCTTTCACCCTTACTGCCCCCACCAGCATGGGGACTGCTATGCACCTTTCCAGGCGGAGGGGACTGTGGTGGTAGATGGAGTCTCACTGGATCCTGGCATTGGAAGGAGTCTGGGAAAGGTTCCAGGCAGGACCTCTGGGCCCCATGTGCAGTGAGGTAGCATGGAGCTGGAGGCTCCAGGTCCCGTCCCGCCTGTGAGCAGGACAGGGGCACTTTTATCTTTCTTGTCAGAAGAGCCTAGCTGAATGAAAAGGGGTTCCTACTCTGTGTGGTAAAAAGACTAGAAAGCCCCTGAGAAATAAACTCACCCAAGTCCACACAGCTCATGGGTCTTGATGTTGTTCCTTTTTTTTTTTTTTGAGTCTCACTCTGTTGTCCCGGCTAGAGTGCCATGGCGTCAGCCTAGCTCACAGCAACCTCAAACTCCTAGGCTCAAGCAATCCTTCTGCCTCAGCCTCCCAAGTAGCTGGGACTACAGGCATGCGCCACCATGCCCTGCTAATTTTTTCTATATATTTTTAGTTGGTCAATTAATTTTTTTCTATTTTTAGTAGAGATGGGTTCTCGCTCTTGCTCAGGCTGGATTTGAACTCCTGACCTCAAGCTATCTGCCCGCCTCGGCCTCCCAGAGTGCTAGGATTACAGGCGTGCACCACTGCAACCACTGAGCCTTTTTTTTTTTTTTTTTTTTTTTTTAAAGAAATGAGGTCTTGCTATGTTGCCCTGGCTGGCCTCAAACTCTTGGGCTCAAGTCATCCTCCTGCCTCAGCCTTCCAAGTAGTAATGGTGTTCCTTTTTGACCTTTAAATAAAAGAATTCACCATCTCCTAGAACGGGTTTTGAGGACATACATATAAAAAAACTTACAGTGGAAAGAGCAGGGCCAGCAGGGGGCCCCCTTGCTAGGTCTGAGGCCTGCCCTACCTCTTTCCTCCCACAGATGTTCAACTGCATCACAGAGCTGGTCCTTCGAGCAAAGAAAGACAACTTGGCGAAACAGCAGCAGCAGCAACAGAACGACGTGGTGAAGCTCACGAGGAACAGTAAACGAAAGAAACGCTGCTGCTAATGCCCCAGCCCACGCAGAGACTGCGCTGCGGTCCCTCCCCCAGCCCGAGGCCCAGGGGGGCTCCTCGGGGGACAGTCTCAGTTTTGTGCCGTTATTTAAAGAATTCTCTCCACGTTTTTGTACTGGGAGGCACCATCGGCACTTCCTCCTCCCCCCTCCCCCAGTGCCAAGAAGGTGTTGGACAAGCCCGCCCTCCCCCACCGGTGCCCCTCCTCCCCGGCCAAGGCGCCTGGACCTGGCGAGGACGCTGCCAGCCGAGCGGACTGATTAACCAGAGTCTGTACATAGTGTATATTGCTCTAACCAACCGCACACCTCGTCCCACTCTGGCTTTTGCCTCCTTAATGCCAACCTGCTGCGACGGACCCTCCCCGCTCCCCTTCCCGTCCCATCTTACTGCCAAGCAGCTTCCGGAGGAGACGGCGTCGTGTTCTTACAGGCATCACTGGCCGCCCTGGGCTGGTGAAGCGGGCTCCGTGTTGCTCATTCTCTCCTGCAGGCTGTCGACTTCTGTCCCCGGCACACAGGGTCTCAGCCTCAGTGGGGCCCTGCCGGCTCTCGTTCCTCCCTATTGTCCCCTGAGCAGGGGCAAATGGCCTCAAGGTGGGCCCCAGCCCTACAGTTCCCTGGAGGCAGCCAGTCCTGCCCTCTGGCCAACAGATTTCTTCTCCTGCCTTCTAGATGCCTCTGAGCTGCAAACCCAGGGGAGCCATGGCTTCTAATTTATACCAACATGTTTCAGTTCCACCAGAAAGGTAGGGGTGTGTTTGCACAAAGATGGGGCTTGCAGGGGGCTATAGAAGCATTAACAGATAAAAAGAAGCCAAATCAAATGAATTAAGTTCCTCACAATTGTTTTCTTTCTCTGGGGTTTGATTGGCACAGCACTAAAAGTTGTGGCCACCTCACTTTGGGTCCAGTGTTTTTAGAAAAAGCAAAAGGCTTCCTGTCATTGTGGGACCAGGCTCTTGGCGTTTCTTGGTGGGAACGGAGAAGGCGCCTCCCACTGTTTGATAGCCCTGATGCAGCGCCAGGCATCTTTGGACCCAGGGCATGGGTGCCAGGGGCTGCTGGGCTGTGGGGACAACACCCCTGGGCTGGGACGGCACGCAGCCTCGGACCACTGACAAAACTGTTGTAGTGTAAAGGTGGCAGGAGGATTTCTTAGCGGGTGGAAAGGAGTGCTCGGGGGTCTGGGGGAAGGCAGTTTTGACCCACCCCAGCCCTCTGGAGGAAAAACCAGGGTCCTCTGCACTTGATAACTGACCCCTCCCCGCCTGGACACTTCATTCCCCTTTCCCCTAAAAGGATCAAGTAACTGGGAAGAATTTATCTCAACACCATGGTGTTTTACTAGATTTCCTTTCCTAGGCAATTCCCAGGCAAAGCCCTGATTGGACAATCACATCACAGATGACACTGCAGATTTTCCATGTTAACACTGTGGATGGGTTTTTAATCAATAAAAACTGGGGGTTTCTTCTCACCTGGGGGTTTCTTCTCTCCACTTGCCCAAACTGCCAAAAGCCAGTGGTTCTGCGAGGCAGGCCTTCACTCCAGCCTCAGGATGGGGCTGGGAGCTCGGTGGGCCTGGAAAGGGGGTGGGGGGACATGGAAGGGGGCAGGCAGCCCCCTCTGGTCTGAGGAGCCAGGAGCAGAAGCGGGGACTCTGTCCTCAGGACTTCCCTGGCTGCCCATGGGCCCCGTGGGGACGCTCGGCACTCGGGCTCCTGTGCTGGTGAGTGGGGGCACACTTGCCCGAGCATTCAGGTGAGGCTGGCGCGGGTGTGCTTGCGACTTCAAGCAATAAGAGGGGTGTCCTGGGAGCTTCCAGCCGGGCTAGAGGTGCCCATGGCTTCTGGCAGCTGGACCTCCAGACCTAGGTGGTGGGGGGATTTTGGCGATGACGGTGTGCCTGTCCCACTGAGTGTTACACGCATGAATGGGGGGTCGTGGGTGGGGGTGGGGGACTCAGGGCTGAACCAATGTCCTAGTGGACCTGATGTGAAATTCTGTCAAAACTTTTCAATGGTTTGCTAGGATTATTTCTGTATTGAAAGTTTCTAATTATGCTTTTTAAAAAAAAAAGTACTAAAAATAAAGGTTCAAGCTGCCAAATTTTTTTCCAGGGTCTGTTTGCTCTCCCTCCAGCTGTACTCTGGGTGGGCCTGGCTTCTTCCCATCCGTTATGTCCGGCTCTTGTCTGTTCTTGGCGTGAGTCTTGCATAGGTGCCTGCTGGGGCCTTGGGACACTTTTAGAAGCCAAGTCCATTTTCTCCATGAACGGCTGGTCCAGGGTTGTGTCTGCTCTAGTGTGACGCACTGGCTGGGAGCACACGCGGTAAGATGCCAGGGGAAGCTCCGGGTTTACTCGCACGCCCAGGAGGATGCCGTGGAAGCCTTGGCTTGGAGTGGCTTCCTTCTGGCTCAGAGTTTCTACCGTGCCCTGGGGCGCAGTGCCGCAGGCCTGCCCTGCGGACGCTGTAGTGCTGGGGGCAGGCAAGGCCAGGCAGGAGTGGTGGGGGGCAAGGTGCTGCCACCCTCTAGGAGAGATGCCCCTTCCTGGCCAAATCCGTTGACTGGGGACCAGCATCTGAGGTGACCTCTCAGGTGCGGCGGACGCGCTACTGCTACCTCTCCAGCGGCCCAGTAGCAGGGCCACCCCTCCAAGTGCCCAGAGACCAAGACAGGAAGCTGTGTAGAAATTCATTTTATTCTTAGTCTATTTTCAAAAGAAGCAGTGGTGCGCTGTTTTTCTAAAAATATGCCTTTATAGATTTATATATATAGTATATTATAAAATCCATACATGTATTTACATGATTGCTACATACAAAATTACAGCACTGTGGTATGTACATATCTATAGGAACATTCTTTCCGCTCATCCCTGCTGTGCTTTCCCGTGTGAGGAAGTGGGAGACCCAGTCAGCGGAGGGCGGCTGCGGGTGGCCCGGCGCGGAGCCCTGCTGGGGCCTGGGCGGGGACGTGCGGCAGCTAAGGAGCAGCAGCGGGGGCAGCCCCGGCCCGGTGCAGGCCTGGTGGGTAGTAGCTGGAGGCCCCCTCGGCCTCCCCTCTCCCATCCAGGCTGTGGTGATGAGACTGCCCTGGGGGCGCTGACCACAGACCCCTCTGGGGCCATTCTGCAGCCTAGACTTGGTTGGCTGGGCCAAGAAGTTGTGTGAGGCGCAGGGGGCTACAGGAAGAGACCCCTCCCAGCCCCAGTCCTGTGAAGGGGAAAGGGCTGGATGGCTGAAGCCAGCAGCGGACCAGTGAGAACACACTGCCTGGCCTGTGCCCTGCTGAGGGGCAAAGACTGCACTAAAAGAGGCTGAGGAAGGAGAGCAGCGGCAGCCAGGGGACAGGGCCTCCTTCCTCCCTGGGGCTTGGGATGGCCTCAGCCCGGCTTGGATAGGCCGCAGCTCTCAGGCCCCGTGGCCGCCACTCAGCCTCCTGCCCGCAGAGGTGCCCGGGCAGGGGTGCATGCACGTGGGTACGAGTGGCCACCGCCTCCCCTTAAGTTCCCCGGGCTGGGGCCTGGGGAAGGAACGGAGGCCCAGGACTCGGCCCCAAGGCGCAGGCCTCCTGAAGCATGCAGAGAGGGGCCTCCATTCCTTCTGTTGCCCATTTCCTAAAGCCGAGGCAGCAGTACCTGCGGGTGGGCTGCAGTCCGTTGGGTCTGAGCCGCAGAGCCTAAGCAAGGGGCCACTCTGGGAAGCAGCCTGAGCCCTGCTCGATGACAGGATCCTGGGGAAGGCTTGGCCAGGTGGCAGGGCGAGGGCAGCCTTCAGAGGCCAAGGCAGGCCCCCACCTTGAGGTCTCCATCCCCGCTGGCAAAAGGGGGCACCCATGGGGCCCTAGGTGGGGCAGTGCAGCTGCCAGCCCCAGGCCTCAGGGGAGGGCCTGGCCCCCACCACCTTGTCAGCCTCCTCCAGTCCACCCATCTGGTGGCCTGACTCCTCCCAACTTAAATCTTCCTGAAGAAGGAGAAGAGCCGTTTGCCTTCAGTGGTGCTGGGCTCGTCCCCCCGCCCCGCACCGTGGCCCCTGGAGAAGGCAGCAGCCGGCCGGCTCCGTTCCTTCAGGTGCGTGTCCATCAGCTGCCGGTCAATGACCCTGTGCATGTCGTCCTGCAGAGGGGAGGGGAGAGCGGCCGGGGCTGAGCAGGGGCTCTGACCCAGCCCTGGGGGTGGACAGGGACGTGGCAAAGTCGGGCAGACAGACGTGAGATGAGGATGAGGATGAGATGAGTGAGCGGCTGCAGCAGGGGCTACCCTGACCAGGACAGCGGTGAGCAGGGGCACAGTGCTGGATGCACGAGAGCCCACGGCGCCTCCGGCCTCCTCTGGGCCTGGGCTGGCTTCTCCCCGCAAGTGTTACCCCACCGGATCCCCACTTCCCAGGTGACCACCTGGAGGGTCTGTCCCTATAGGCCCAGATAACAGTGCAGTCCCTAAGCCAGCGCTCAGCCTCCCGTGACCAGCCCTCTGGGCCCTGTGTCCCGTGGGGCTGGCTGGTGCCTCTGGCTTGGTTTGTCACCCCCACCCCTGCACGCCCTAGGGTGACCTCAGCTTGCCAGCTCTCTAGCCCAACGGCCTGGCCTCAGGGAGCTTCTGTCCTTTTTTTCCTTCCAACTATTAACAGCCTGAGCTACTGACAGCCACGCACCACTGGCAGCCCCAAGTGGCAAAGAAACAGTCTCCCTGCTACCAGCAAGGCTCCTATCTACGGCAGAGTCACGGGCATCACAGACTCCAGGTGTGGTCATGCACCAAAGAGTTGTCAGGCCATTTCTTTTAGCTTCCTCATGGGGGTAGGCAGGACCTTTCCTCCTCCAATCTGCTCATGCTGTCTAGAAAGCTCTTCCCATGCCCCACCCCGCCTTACAAGCTCCCGGACAGAGTGGCCAGGCTCCTCCCCTCCAGCCGCTAGATTCCGAGTCTATAAAATGCCGTTTGACAAAAGGGTTCTGCCACTAATAAAGTTTGAAAACTACTGGCTTAGAAACACAGCAGCCCTGTGTAATTAACAGCGGCAGTAAACGTAACATGCATCTGCCTGATTCCTTCGTCCTTGAACCTGGCGGGCTCTGGGCTCTCCTGGTAAAAACGCTGTTTGTGGTGGAGGCTCCCTGTGCCAGGTAGACACTTTTGCAGCGGAGCGGCCACTGGCCAGCCCCACTGCCTCACCTGCTCGTCCGCCACCTCCTGAGTCTCACCTGGAGGGGCACAGCACTGCACAGAGGTGACGCTGCGCTCCGGCACACTCTGCAGATGCCAGTGAGTACAGCTCTCTCAACTCCCTGGCTCCGCTCCTGCTCTCCAGCCTTCCCCTTGTCCCTACCCCTGGCCTCCTCCATTCTCAGCTCTTTCCTGGCATGTCTCCTCCCCCGTCTCTCTCCATCCCTCCCTTCTGCTTCTCCACCTGCCCCTCAGATCTGACACTGTGCCAGGCAGTGGCCGACACATGGTGCCTGCCTTCCAAGCCTCCAGTGCAGAACCCCAGCACCATGCCCTGCCCTAGGACATGCTCAACAAAAGCTATGTCACATACGACACAAGAATGTAAAAGGGCTTTCAGAAAAAATCCTTTCAAAGCTGCCCATTTTTTGGCACATTGCAAATTGTATCTATACTTCAAGCAATCGGATTCGTCAGGGCAACCCCACTTCAGAGCTTCAGACACATGCTGCCCGTGATTCCACGCCCGCTGTTCCTTCAGGGGGCAAAACAGCCATTTATGAGAAGGCGGCGCCAAGAGACCAGAGCGCTGGGCCACAGGTGCCCAGGAGCCCACTGGACATGACGGTGACAGGAGGAGCAAGCCCGGGGCTCACGGGCACATCACACTGCACAGAAATGACACTGGGCTCTGGCACACAGACACGGCGGGCCACGAGGGGAGGTGGCGAGGGTAGCACAGCAGTGGCAGCGGGGCGAGGGTGGATGGGATGCAATCTCACCTCAAAGGCAGGAGGGGTGTACAACTAAAGCTGTTGATACGGGAACTGAGAAAGGCCACTAGATCAGAAACCAAAGGAGCCAGATAGTAAAAAGCCCTGAGGAAGCAAACTGCAGCCGGGAGAGAAGAGAGAGAACGGCGGTAAGCCGGGGCCTGGCCAGTTGGCTGCCCGGCAGGCGTGGGGCCAGTGACCAGCACCCTGGGGGAGGGCCAGTGCTCCAGCTACCAGCCCGACAGGGCCCTGGAGGAACAGTCACCGACCACCTGCCTTCCACAGTGGGGCACACCTTGTAAAGCCGCAGGTGGCTTTCCATGTGTCTAGTCCGGATTTCTTGGAGAGAACTGTTAATGATGACACCCACATCCTGACATTGTATCACCTCAACCTCATCGACAAAAAGCCCATCACAGCCCCAGCGGGGAGCCATGTTGGACCCTGAGAACAGTGGTCACAGAGATGGACAAACCGACTCATTTTCCCTAGGGCCTGTGCCAGCACGGCGCACTCTGGAAAAAGAAGGCTGGCCCTTAAGAAGGGGAAGAGCACCAGCTGCCGCTGCTAGACGGGCGCTGAGCTGCATCCAGCTGTGATTTTCATCCAATCGTATAGGGCTTCCTGGGCTCTCCGTGTCTGCCAGCTGTTTCTTTTCCCTTTTAACAGAGCCCAGACTGAAGGGGCGCCCCCCCATTCCAAGCCTGGAGGGGACGACACCTCCAAACAGTAGTAGCCTGGGGTATGTTGCTCTCAAGAGCATCCCTGAACTTTCCTCCCTAGGGACTGGGGGGACACCAGCTCTGGATTTTGCCAGGTGAAGACTGGGGTTACATGTTCACCCAGTCCCATGGGACCCTCTAGTAGCAAACTCTCCTTCTCATCCTCTGCCTGGGTTCAGAGACTCACCCTGGGGCTCAGGGCTCTCACTCACCTGCCAAGCCTCCAGCTGCTGTGAGAGGTTCAGCTTCTGCTGAATGGCGTCCAGCAGCTGGCTGTTCAGAGACATCATGTCCATCCTGCACTTGGCGAGTTCCAGCTCCACAGCATTTTTCCTGCAAACAGACAAGTCGGGGTGAACACAGATACCTTGTGCCAGAGATATCTGGTTCTTTACTTGGGGAACCTACCTGGAGTCTACAGGATGAGGAAACAGGCTCTGACCCCAACTCACAACAGTAACTGTAACAGCAACTATGTTGCTTGTAGAGGGTTAGTTTGCAACATATTTTCACATACATTTTCTCAAATTCATAACCAACTTGTAGGTGAAAGGATTGTCATCCCCACCTCATAGATGAAGAAACAGAGGTTAAAAGTAGTTGAAAGATGATGATACCAAAATGAGGACTGGAACCCAGAGAAGATCAAAGGCCTCACACAACACAAAGGAGACTCACCCTTCCCCAGAGGCTAGTCCCTACGGGAGAAGGTAGGGGGCCCTGTCCTCCTGGTATAGAAAGGGCTCCTTTTGATTAGCAAATCCCCCCTTAAGGGAACTGTCTTGACGATACAGATGTGTGCAAAAATTGCCACCCGTCATAGCTTTGCTAATGAGAATATCCAATGATTAAATAGCTGGTAGTGAATTCCATGATGGAATACAGTCCCCAGTAAAAACCATGACACAGGGTATGTGCTAACAGTTCATAATGTATTGCTATATAGAGCAAAACACCAGAAAGCAAGGTCTAATATGACACTAGCTTTGTAAAACAAAAACTGCCTGTGTTGAAGAGTAGACACAAAAATGCCTCTTGGTTATTTCTGGGTGAAGATCATTGAGAGGTGACTTATCCCCACCTACTTTTGCTTTTTGTATTTTCACATTTTGTGTAGGTTTCACGTATTGCTTTGTTTGTCTTTCTCAAAATTTCTATTCAATGTAAAAGAAAATTAACTTTCGGGGCTGTGGAAGGGACTAAGTGGGTGGCCTCTGCAGAGGCAGCCCTGTTGCCAGCTGTGGAAACATGCATTGTTCAGCCCTTGCCTTCATCAACCGCTCCCTCGAGCAGTCCGAACAGCAAAGCTAACAAAAGAATCCTCCTTGCACAGGGCCAGCGCCCAATGTGCATGGCCTAAGGACAGCTAGAGGATCCACCTGCAGAGGCCGCCAAGCCCAGCCTCGCTCTGGAACACGACAGCACTAACCCGAGCCCAGCCGGAAAGCGGAGCAGGTGGGCCCCATTTGTGAAGTGCCCAGGCCACCTCGACCAGCACTTCCTCTGTGGCCCCACGTCTACTGAAGCACTTAGTCACCCACCGACACCCCAGACAGTGCCCCGCCCGCCGGCCCGCCCGCCCGCCTTCCCCAGAGGAGCCGCTCCGGACAGCCGGGCCACCGCGCCAGCCCCGCCCACTGCGGCAAGTCTGCCCAATGGGCGGCCGCAGCTGCCTCCGTCACGCCGCCGCTATTGGTTGGCAGCGAACAGCGGAAATCCTCGCGTGGCGCTGGTTGCCACGGACGCCCGCCCGCCACCCGCGGTCCTGGAACCTCAGAACCAACCCGTGGCCCCGCGGCGGCTGCGGCCTCGTCAGCTTCCGGCGTCTCCGGCAGGCGGCGCCACGAGCAGCCCGGCGCCCCCGAGTGTGCTAACGCCGCGCCAGCCCGCGGTGCCGGTGCCTGCCTTCCCGCAGAGGCTCGGCCACGCACTGCACCCTCCCGACGCTCGCGAACTGGGGACCCCACACCGGGAACGCGCAGCTACAGGAGCTGCTGGGCAATATGTTAATCCTGTTTTTTAAAAAGGCATATTTCCGAGGGCTAGAAGAGTTCCTTGTTGTTTTTTTTTGGGGGGGGAGGGGGCGTAAACAGAGTCTCGCTCTGTTGCCCCAGCTAGAGTGCCGTGGCGTCAGCCTAGCTCACAGCAACCTCAAACTCCTGGGCTCAAGCGATCCTCCTGCCTCAGCCTCCCGAGTAGCTGGGACTACAGGCATACGCCACCACACCCTGCTAATGTTTTCTATATATTTTTAGTTGGCCAATTGATTTCTTTCTATTTCTAGTAGTGGTGGGGTCTTGCTCTTGCTCAGGCTGGTTTCGAACTCCTGAGGTTGAGGGATCCACCTGCATCGGCTTCCCAGAGTGCTAGGATTACAGGTGTGAGCCACCACCACTGGCCTAAGAATTCATTTTTTAAATGACACCACTAGTAACTGACTTGTTTTTCTAAGGCAGAGTGCAAGCCCCAAATTTTTGTTTATACTGAAGGCCTTTACCCTGCAAGGAGATAAAATTGTTCTTAACCTTCCTGACACCTGTTGTATAGGATAAGGTAACCTTAATGTTCATGCACTCCAGTGATGAGAGGGAAATCATTTTTCTTAGCAATTCTTACACTAGAATCACAGGGTAAAGAAGTAGCCCCAACCCCTGCGATTCAGACTATACCGTTCTGGGGAGGGCCCTGGCATTGGGGAGCTCCCCAGACGATTCTAGTGCAGCCAGGATAGTCAGAGATGATGCATATTAAAGTATCTTGTAAAATGAAGATCCCATACAGTTGTGGGTATGGTTCTCTCTTAAGTGACTGCTTAGGTCTGTTGTCTCAATTCTTATATACCAAAAATTTTCACTTCTAAGGGATAGAAAAAGAACTATCCTCCTGGAGAGATCTAACAGCTTTCCTCCTCATCCAACCCTGTTCTGCAAGGGTCCAGGAAGGACAGGGCCCTCATTCTACAATTCTCACTGGGAGCTTCCTGGCAGGGAGGAGAAGTTGCAAAATGATCAGTCAGGCTCCAGGGTGTGAACAGAGCCTCCTTTGATAGCAGCCAAGGGCATGCATAGTTTCATGTAGATTTGGTAGCCTCCTCTAGGGGGTAGACTTCTTTACCCTGTGATTTGCCCAGTGGCAGAGCTAGGTTTTACTTTTTTTTTTTGAAAGAAAGGAACTGGACAACTTGTTTCTTCTTCCTTCCTGCACCTTGACACTGCCTCTAGTTCTATCTCCCACCTTCCATGCTAATGCGATTTCTTTCTTTCTTTCTTTCTTTTTTTTGTTTGAGACAGAGTCTCGCTTTTGTTGCCCAGGGTAGAGTTAGTGCCCTGGCGTCAACCTAGCTCACAGCAACCTCAAACTCCTGGGCTCAAGCAATCCTTCTGCCTCAGCCTCCTGAATAGCTGGAACTACAGGCATGCGCCACCATGCCCAGCTAATTTTTTCTATATATATTAGTTGGCCAATTAATTTCTTTCTATTCATAGTAGAGACGGAGTCTCACTCTTGCTCAGGCTGGTTTCGAACTCCTGACCTGGAGCAATCTTCCCGCCTCGGCCTCCCAGAGTGCTAGGATTATTGGCGTGAGCCACCGTGCCCAGCCTTTTTTTTCTTTTTTAGGAGACAGGATCTTGCTCTGTCACCCAGGTTGGAGTGCAGTGGCGTGATCATAGCTCACTGCCACCTCGAACTTATGGACTCACGCGATACTCCCAACCCCAGCCTTCAGAGTAGCTGGGACTACAGGCACACACCACCACACCTCGTAATTTTTAAATTTCTTGTAGAGATAGGGTCTAAGTTGCCCAGGCTGGTCTTGAACTCCTAGCATCAAGTGATCCTCCTGCCTTGGCCTCCCCAAGTGCTGGGATTGCAAGTGTGAGTCACCATACTCAGCCTGGTCTGATGTTAGTGTTCAGCCTCATCTGCTGTCTTCTGCTTGTCCAGCTGAGAGGAGGTGACCAACCAGTGTCCTTGTAACTTTATTCTGCTTTTTATCCCCAATGGGCTTCCACAATTACATCTTAATTTTACCATTTTATTCCCTAATTATATCACGCAAGTTCACACTTTGTTATTCACAGAAGTACGCCCTCCCCTTTCTATCATACTGCTACACAAGCGTCCACTAACTAAATGTACCAGGAATTCAGAGGTACGTGAGCTGCCAATAATTCCTAAAATGAACTAGAAATGACAGACAACCTGATAAGTTTCTGACCAGACAGAAAAGGGGACCCAAAAGTAAAACAGAAATGGAAATAATGAAAATGATTCAAAAGAACAGAAGGGAGGGGAAATGTGTGTGTGGAGATTAGAACCGGGGAAAGTTCGAGAGTGAGGAATTTTAAACGCAGAAATTAAAATGCGTTGTTGTATTATTTTTCAGAAAAGCATATGGTATCTTACTTATAAATCATTTCAAAAAAGCTTATTTTAGCTTCCTAAGAAGCAGCAGTGTGGCAGAGGGGAAAGGATGTCGGAAAGATAGGAGCCAAGAGGCCTGAGGTGGAGGCCAGTGAGTCACAACTGCCTGTGACCCTCGGAAAGTACTTCTCAGTTTTCTCATCTGTAAAATTGGGATGAAAAATGTTTACTTCTTACTGTGGTTGGGAGGAATAAAGGATGAAACTGTTTTGTAAACAGCAAAGTGATGTACAAATGTTGCCACTAATGTGTTGTAAGTGGCCCAAAAGCAGATACCTTTTTGGTAAGTTTTATCTCTTCACGCCCAGGGAGTAGGGGCTGGATGAGTGCACATTAAATAATTCACAGGGCGATGGGGAATGGGTAAAGGTGTTTTTTGCCTATGTACTTCCAGATTTTCTGTATGTAAGAGAATGCATTTATGTATCTCTTATGTGTTAATAAAAACTCAAAACATTATTTAAAAAATGACCTACTTTGTCAGAAATATAGAGGACAAGGAAAATTTTAAATGACACTATGGGTTGCAATTAAACCCAGAATGTAATAAAACTCTGAGACAAATCCAGTTTCTTCAATAAATAAATGCAATATGAAAAAAAAGGAACAAAAGTGTTACAGACTTTTGGGACATATATCAATTAAATAGAATATATGGACATTAGAGTCTGATTCTGTTAAATTAGAATTGATTTTAATCAATAAGACATTTATGGGATAACTGAAGAATTCCAACACTGACTGGATACATGATACTATTAAGAAATTATTGGTTTTTTTTAAGTGTGATAATTGTATTGTGGTTGTATTTTTTTTAAAGTTTTTTCCTGGTAGAGATACATACCAAAGTGTTTATGGATGTGATGACACTACATGATGCGATCTGTTTTAACATAATCCAATGGGGAGGTGGAGGAAGTAGATGAAATAACACTGGCTATATGTTGATTAGTGTTGAGGCCGAGAGGTGGGTAGAGAGGGATTCAACTCGTGTTTTCTATTTTTACATATGCTTGAAAATGTCCATAATAAAAAATTAAAAAAAAATAAAAATAAAAAAAATATGAGGTAGATATATATGAAATTGGAAAGTTTTCTAAGATATAAGTGGAAAAAAAGACACATCCCGTTGATGTTTAAAAAAACATGGAACTACTAGATTGTATACACCTATATATGCATAGGAAAAAAATCTGCAGAAAACATACACGCAACTGTCAACAGTGGTGTCTCTCTGGGGAGAATAGGACTGGGCAGGCAGTAGGGAAACTCTTTTACCTTTGTATTCTTCTATATGATTTAATTTTAAAAATTTAGCATATATTCAATTTTATTTTAAAAATAAAATTAAGCCATCCCCACTCACTTTGCAATGGCCTCGTCCCGGTCCCTGATGGCCTTCTGAAGCTGCTCCTTTGGCTCCTTATCCTCAGATGTCACTCTGAGTCGGTCTCTCTCCTCTTTGAGTGCAGTCATCTCCACACTCAGCAGTGTCACCTAACAGGAGACCAAAGAAGGAGGAACATGATGATATCACTGCTGCTGGCCTGCAGTGGTTTCCTTCCAAGAAGGAAAAAGAAACGAAGAAACCTGAGGCAGGCCCGCACACACGGGGTGCCCGTGTGGCGTGCAGGCCGGAGTGTTCTACTACAGCCCCGATCGGAGAGGGCCCATCTCTCCTGAAGAAAGGACGCCACGTGCTAGGCTCAAGCTCAGCGGCAAGGGGGCTGGGCAAAGTTCAGCCCTGGATTTGCCCCCGAGGACTAGATTCCCTTTGTACTCAGCACACTACGCCACCTCCTTCAGCTCAAGACACTCCAGGTAACTAATGAGAAAAGACCACAAATGCATCTGGGCTCTGAGACATTTTTAGGGGTAAGGGGTAGGACTCCAGTCTTGTTGCCAGCCATCTTCCGCTCAATATGGAACGCTGCTATCAACAGCCCGAGACCTGGCTCCTGTCTCTGACAGCACTTGGCACAGCTCCTCAGGGCAAGGCCACAGGGAATTTAGATTATCATCCTTTCACTTCAAACGTGGTCCATGCCTTAGTGAAGGTCACCATAGGCTACTCAGGCCCTCATGCTCAACCTGGGAGTCATCCTTTGGCATGAGGCCCCTCTCTCAGCGGCTCCATCAGTGACCACAGCTTATGCCACCCCACAGTAGAGGAGCCCTATGTACACCATGATCTCGGTGGTGGCAAGAACCATGTCGTATCCACCTGTGCATCCCAGAGCCTGTGTGTAGTGCTTAATCTGAAAGTATCTGTGCAGCAGTGGACAATTATCATTTTTTGGGTAGTCATCATCCAAAATATCTTCCTATTTTGGGAGCACTCCTGGTTGTGTGAGTCTTGGTGGGACACGGCATTACCTTCCACTAAGGAAGCCAATGGGGGAAAGACATTTCCTTTTCTAGGCAGCCTGGGCCTCAGCAAGTGACCTCAACTTTTGAGTCATACCCCACCCCCACCTGACACTGAGGCTCTTGAGAGAGTAGAGCAAAGGCACAGATGAGTGGGCAGTTATTAACTATTACATACAAGGGCAGTACACTGTTTCTGTTGTCGCCTTCCCATAGCTACTTCCTGTTTTGGAGCCAAGTTCTCCTGCCTTCCTGTTGATTCTTATAAGCTATCAGATTTAATTCCAGTATATTCTCTTTCTGCTTAAGTTAAGCAGAGCAAATTTCTGCGGTTTGAACCAGAAACCCTGCCTGGTAGAGCTTTCCATAAATATTTGTTGTATACGGGAAGGGTGGGAATGTCTTCTCAGCTGATAGGATCAGACATGAGTCTGGACGCCTGACCCTGCCCTCCTGTGGATTGTTATGCACACACTGCCGTTCTTCCAAGGAAGGATCCCTCCGTACAGGTCTGTCTACCTCCCTCCCACAAGGGCTCAGACGCCACCTTTCAGTGTACTCTGCTCTTCAAGCCCCAGGTCTAATCAGCTTCAGGTAGAGTGGAGCTCAGCACAGGACTAAGGCTGAAAATCAGGCTTCCCTGGAGTGGCTTCAGATGCTCCCCAGGGTGAGACAACAGCGTTGCCAGCCCCTGGGGCAGCAGCCACTCTGGAGGGGTTCAGAGAACATCCCACAATGAAGATGGATAGAAGGACAATTTATTACTGTCATGAACAATTTTGGACTCTTTGGAGTCTGGTAGGGCAGCCAGCATTTCTCTATGGATGACATTGTGCATAGACTCACATCCAGAACATTCAGAAGTGACCTCCCTCAACCTTTTTGGCACCAGGGACCAGTTTTATGAAAGAATTTTTCGCCAGGCGTGGTGGCTCACGCCTGTAATCCTAGCACTTTGGGAGGCCGAGGCGGGCGGATTGCTCAAGGTCAGGAGTTCGAAACCAGCCTGAGCGAGACCCCCGTCTCTACCAAAAATAGAAATAAATTAATTGACCAACTAAAAATATATATACAAAAAATTAGCTGGGCATGGTGGCGCATGCCTGTAGTCCCAGCTACTCGGGAGGCTGAGGCAGTAGGATCGCTGAGCCCCGGAGATTGAGGTTGCTGTGAGCCAGGCTGACGCCACGGCACTCACTCTAGCCTGGGCAACAAAGTGAGACTCTGTCTCAAAAAAAAAAAAAAAATGAATTTTTCCACAGACCGGGGTGGGGTACGGTTTCGAGATGATTCATGCACATTACATTTATTGTGCACTTTATTTCTATTATTATTATTACATTGTAATATAATAATTATACATCTCACCATAATGCAGAATCAATGTGAGCCCTGATCTTGTTTTCCTGCAACTAGATGGTCCTATCTGGGGGTGATAGGAGACAGTGACATCTGAAGTATGTTGCTTATGTCCAGTTTACTCTGTAATCTTGTTCGGTTGCTGTCATTGCAGAAAACCCTGCTTCACAAAGACAGGATGTTGGAAATGAAGCAGCCTTTTTAGTGCTTTCGTGGAACCCTCAGGATACTCCACTTTGACTCTCATCCAGACTGTATAGAGATTTGAAGTCATCTCAAACATACTTTCAGGCCACTGTCATTTGTGATCTCAAGCAGTTGATGCTCTTTTAGCATGGACAAAGTCGATTCACCTGGTTTATTCACAGCTGAGTGGTAGATCCATTCCTTCCCAGTTTAGGGGTCTTCTGTGGTTGGAAAGTAATGCTCAATCTCTTTTGAAAGCTGAGACAAGTGGTCATGCACCAGTCAGGAGAAAGAAGGCTCTGGCTCACTCTCTTTCAAAATCTCTGCTAATGTTTGAAACATGTCAAAAATCCCAGTGTTCACTTGTCACTTCGTAATTCCAGTTTGGCTTTGAATACAGCCACTTTGTCTGCTGACTTGAACACCGTTGTCCTTCTCCCCTGAAGTGACAGACTGAGTTTGCTGAGCAGGTTGAATACGTCACACAAGTAAGCAAGTTTTGCGACCCATTCTGTGTTACTCAAGTGTGCAGCCAAGTGGTGACTGTTTTTCTAGAAGAAATATCTGGACCGGTTCTTATAACTCAAAAACTCTGGTCAGTGATCTATCTTTAGAAAGCCATCTCACTTCTGTGTATGAGAGAAGACAAGACGTGTGTGCTCTGCATCCATCTCCTCACAGAGCTGAGCAAACAGATGTGAGTTAAGGGGATGTGCTTTAACGTGGTTGATAATTTTAATCACATCCTGCAAAATGTTGTTTAATTCAGGTGACATTTTTTAGCCAGCATTTCTCTATGGATGACACAGTGCACAGACTCACATTCAGAAGCGACCTCCTTGATCCAAGTAGTGAAACAAGAAAGTCAACCACTCATGGCAGCCCCTCAGTCCATGCATATACTGACACAAAATGACCAATTCAGTTTTCCTGATATGTCATCATTCAAAGACTTGAATAGTTCTGCAGCTGTGGTGTTGGTTGGCAACAAAAGTGCACATAACATATCCTGTGCACATCCTCCTGAAAAATATGTCACACGAAGACAAGCATTGTTGCCTTGTTGTCAACACTGTCCAACCTGGATTGCGTACCATGGTGACTCATTAACCCTCTCTAACAATTGTGCCTCAATATCCTTTGCTGTTTCACCAATTCATCTAGTTATGGTGCCAGCCAAAAGAGGAACATGTGCCACCTTTTGAACTGCAGCCTCTCTTAAAAATTCATGTCTAGTGTTCTTAGCAACAGGCAGGATCAACTTACTGATAGCAAAAGGTTTCTTAGCTTAAGCAATGCGGTTAGCCACTAAATGTGATGCTCTCAGTGCAGACATATTTGATGAAGTGGTGGCCTTCAGTAATTGCTTCTGTTTTGTGTTCACATTTTTTTTCTTTTGAAAAACTCCAGAAGCTTGTCTTTTAATGCAGGGTGCTTGGTCTCCGTGTGGCAAAGCAGTTTTGAAAATATTGTTTAATTCAGGTGACAGTTTTTGGCTAGCCAGCATTTCTCTGTGGATGACACGGTGCTGTGTGGCCCAGTTCCTAACAGGCCACAGACCTGGACCCCTACTGGTATCACGCAGCCTGGGGGTTGGGGCTGCAGTGGTAGGGAACGTCAGGGCCCGGTGATCTGTGTGAGAACAGCCCAAAACATCAACGTTCCCAGTGGGGACAGCTGGGTGAGCAGGGTCAGAAGCCTGAGGGAGGCACAGGCTGGAACACGCGCAGAGCAGCTACACAGACACGCACCTAGCCCTGAGGCAGACACGGCACCAGGCATGAAGCCCAGCCTCGCCCTATTTACCAGCAGGTTCTGCAGCTGGGCAGGCTGGAACTCAAGAGGCAAAAGGCACCTGGCAGAGACAGCCAGACTTTCATAGGCCAAATGAGCCCTGACATGGCCTTGAGCCAGCTGTGGGCCAGTCAGGTGTTTTGCCAGCTCAGTAAGGGACAGGTAAAATTATATGCTAGGCAAAAAAAGCCAGTATTTCATATGCTCCAGATCAAACTCCAGAACTATTTACTTTGGCTTGGAAAACCTGGTCAAGCTAGAGCCCAGCAGTCATGTGTCGTAGGAGAGGTGACAAGGGATTTACCCTCTGAGCCACACATACTTTTCATAAAAAGCAGGTATAAACATTACTAATCCCTGCCACCAAGTTGTAAGGATCAAACAAAATAACCCCAAGGGTCCAGCACAGGGCCTGGCACATGGCTGTAAACTCCACTCTCCTCTCCTGCCCTCGAGCCAGGACCTAATTGCTGACATCTGTCATGAGAAGTCCCAGACACAGGAAGCATGTGCCACTGCCCTCTTGTATCCCACGTTCAGTTCTGCTACTGCAACAGGGCAAGAGGGAAACCAGAGGGAAGGAGGCTGGATGGTCACAGGCTCGCAGCTTCCCGTCACTGGATAATGGGAACCCACCTAGAACCCATAAAGGGTGTCCCATTTTCAAGTCACGCTTCAGGAAGATCAATCCAAATCATGTGAGGGAGGATAGGCTGGAGGAAGGCAGATAAATTGGGAAGTGGTGACCGCAGCCAGGGTGTGAAGGGCTGCGGGTCTGAAATAGCACAGGGACTTAGGAGGATGGAGGAGAGGGAATATGGCAAGACATGCCAGAGAAGTCACCCAGATTTGATTAGTGAAGCCCTCCATTCTCCCTGTCCTGCTCTCCCGTGTTGGCATGCCCCTTCTGGAGTAACTGGCATGCATGCTCTAGTTGAGCATGAAGGATCCAAATAACAGAACTGGGACTGTGTTTCTCATCGAGCCTCCTACAACTTGGGTTACTGGCTTAAAAAAAAGTCAAGGTGAGGGGCCTCCCAGATTACTAGTTCTCACATTGTACAGAATAATCACTGAAGACCCTCACTGCTTCCTTGCATCTGTGTTGTGCTCACCACAAGTGAAGGGGTGGGCCACGTGGGCTGTGGGGCATGGGGGAGGGGACAGTTCCTCGCCACAGGCAGGAGGGGCAAACATGGTAAGAGGGACTTGTGTTCTCAAAGTACGATAATGGATGCAGACTGGTCATCAGGTCTAGCATTGGATTTTTGTTTCAAATAGATAATTATAAGTCAAATTAAACCTCTTCTATTTAAAAATTTGGGGAGGCTTCTGCAAGGCCGGTGCTGCTCCCCACCTCTGACCAAGTTTCCAGGAGAGAAAAGAGCCCCCTCAAGTAAGATGGGAGTGGTCTCAGAGGCTGGGTCACCCATCAGATGAGGTTTGAGCCTGGTCCAGAAGCTGTCAGAACCTTGGTCCTACCTAACCTCGTCTAGGCTCTGCCCCCAAAAGGCTCCAGAGATGGCTCTGACTGCCCTCATGACGCTGTGAGGTCCTGGAGTACAAGGGCTCCACACATATACCTCTGTGCCTCTCAGGGTCTAGTGCAGTGCCAGGCACATAGTGGGTGTCAGCATGAGGCACGTCATGCCTGCTGTGATGGCTGCAATTTCCACGGTCATTCTGGAACTTAATCTGCATCCCACCCACTGCCTCGGGATGGCAGTGTTACTACCATGGGGCAGTTTTGGTGGGTGCAGTGTGGCTGAGAGGTTTTCTGCTTTGAGCATTTGGGAAGAAATGACCTACAGGAGAAGCCTAATTCTCTACCCCACATGGAACGTGGGTGTGACCATCTGCTTGGTGAACTATCTGAAAGGGAATCCACAGGAATTGGTCTAAACCAGTTATCAGCTGAACTTCTATGGAAAATTCACTGGTGGAGATGGATTCCTAAATAGTTCCAACACCAGACTCTTAGCAACCTCTACTTTGCTTATGTTTCTGAATGAAATAATGCCCTCTGGTGACTTCCTAGTTTTCTAATTCTGAGAAGCAAAAAACAAAAACAACAACAAAAAACCCAAACAAAAAAACCAGTCAATGTCAAAGAGCTGATAAGCAGAAGCATCCCACAGAAATTTAAATAGGCTTAAAAATAAATAAAGTTTTTATTAATCCAAAGAACTTTTAGATCCAACTTTCTCTTGCATTTTATTCTTCCAGTATGGAAGATCTGTCCCTAAGCCTGAACCTCTCCCTGGCCAATGACCACTTGAGGACCTGAGGTTTTATTTTATTTTATTTTTTTTTTGGAGACAGAGTCTCGCTTTGTTGCCCAGGCTAGAGTGAGTGCCGTGGCGTCAGCCTAGCTCACAGCAACCTCCTGGGCTCGAGTGATCCTTCTGCCTCAGCCTCCCAAGTAGCTGGGACTACAGGCATGCACCACCATGCCCGGCTAATTTTTTATATATATATCAGTTGGCCAATTAATTTCTTTCTATTTATAGTAGAGACGGGGTCTCGCTCTTGCTCAGGCTGGTTTCGAACTCCTGACCTTGAGCAATCCGCCCGCCTCGGCCTCCCAAGAGCTAGGATTACAGGCGTGAGCCACAGCGCCTGGCCAGGACCTGAGGTTTTAGGCAGGAGAACATGTCTGGCTGCTCAAGCTCACTCCCCAGGGTTCAGCTAGGAGCAAACCCCAACTTTAAACAGTGTCTTTCTGTCCTTGTTATCTGGTTACAGAAAAAGAGCACAGTGATGGCTGTATGTGAGTATCTCAATATTTTCCAAGAAAACAGTATTAGAAACACTAATAGGATGATACAAAAAAGACAGGAGTTTCTTTCTATAAAGGCATTTTAAATGTAAGCAATACTGACTGAGTGATGGCCAGGCTTCAATTCTATCTCACAGAAATCTCATGCAGCAGGAAGGGATGAAAAACTTTGGACAAAGAAGGGAAGGCACAGGGTTTAGGTGCTACTTGTCTGGTGTTCCTCCAGCTCCTACCCTACTCCAAAGGAGGACGGAACCTCTACACATGACTACAGTCTAAAGGAAGGGCATTTATCTCCTAGGATAGGTTTTAGAAGCTCCTAGCTTGGGGCTGCTCCTAAGTCCTTTAAAATTTTTCAGATCAGAATATAAATGTCCTCAAGAGAGATGAAATCACGATCCAATAGGAAAGTAACAATGAGGGTAGCAGGAAGTTCTTCCAAAGCTGAAAAGCAGGCTGACAGAGGCGATAGCACTTAAAAATAGTTCTGTAAAGATCAATTGTTCCGTGGTTTGCAAACTTCCTTGCCCAGAAGCTGCTGGAAAAACAGCCCGAGAGCTGTGGCACTTTAAACTGTCAGAATCCACCAGTCAGACTAACTTCTGGCTCTGTGGAAGGCAGTGTGTCACTGGAGGAAATCAAGGACCAGCTATTCTTATCCCTGCCAATTTTACTTTGGCCTAAACTGCAGGACTGGTTTCTTTTCTTGAAGACATCCAGCTTACCTCAGCTTCAGGTCACAGTTGCCTGAAGATGCGATGGGGAGAGGCACTTCCCAGATAGAAGCGGGAGAGAAATAAATGCACAAGGGTCCCGAGAGTGACGAGGAATACATGCACACCCCCGCGCTGACTGGAGACGGGGGTGCTCACCTGACTGTGGAGTTGCTGCAGCTCTTCTAGGCTTTGCCTCAGTTTACCCCTCTCTCCCTCCATGAGCTCCCTTAGTGCTCTCGAGTCCTCACTGGTCTGCCTTATCTGTTCTTCTAACGAGTCATCGTCAAGTCTCCGGGAGCTCTGACAGCAAGAGAGAGAGAGAGACAGCCAGAGATGGTGAGGGTGTACAGAGACAGGGGAGAGACCATTAGTGGGGGAGAAGGGAGAGATGGTGAAACAGAGACAGACAGTAGGGGTGATGGGGGAGGGAGAGAGGGAAGGCAGGGAGGGAGAGAGGGAAGGAGAGGAGAGACAAGTGGGGAAGAAAGAAGGGCTGAGGAAGAGAATGCTCTTGCTCAGTTTCTGCACATAATAGCTAGATGTTCATTTTTATTTCAGGCTTCAGGGGAAGGAAGCCGTGTGGTGCGAACAGCACAGCACACTCTGACAGTGCCCTTCTCTCTCGGTCACCTGGCCTTCTCTACAACACATCCCACAGATCAACACAGCGAGGTCAGATGGAAGCAGCACTGTTCATCTTACTTCATCCAGCACAGGTAGGAAGATACATCTACTCTGTGGGAGGATGAAACACAAAGACAAATAACAGCCTGAGAGCTGGGAGTGCGAGTGGAGGGAAGGCAGGGAGAAATCTGCAGTGACGCTGGGAGAAAGCCGGCCTGCCTAGGACGCCCACGGGAACATCCCTGTCCTCCACAGGTGGGCCACATCTGCAATTCTAAAGGGCCTTGGAGTTGGATCTTCCCAACTTTCTATGCTTACTTATTAACTTTAGATCTTTTAAGTTTACCTACTCATAGCTAACCCCAGCAATAGGATCGAAGGGCGACAGAATAGTAACTTGCAGTTTTTACCTAGATACAAACTTCTACATTCAACGTTTCCAAGGAAAGCCCTTAAACTTGAGGCCAACATTGTCTGTACATCACTGTCTGGACAAAAAGCTCCACGTGTGCTGGGTATCTGCAGGAAGCCGACTTTGGAGCCTTCCCTGCCCTGACACTCAGTCCCTCTGCTTGATTGCCAGGAGTCAGTGCTCTCAAACAGTAAGGGCTCAGAAGACATTCTTGCAGATATTTTATAGGGTTCCACGGTTAACCTCACCTTCTGCACTAGGTTCCAGTCTCCCACTAGCCAGAGCCCGTGGGGTCAGGACCTTCTCAGACTGGCCTCTTACCGTGGGCTCCATGCCGTCCACAATGCTCTGTATTAGTCTCTTGAGCTCGTTGAGGGCAGTGCGCAAGCTGCCGGCTGGCACATCCTTGGCGGATGAAGTTTCTGAAGATTCGTCCATTGAGGAGTCCGTGGAGACAGCGGAGTCGGCACTGTCGTTCCCTCGAAGGTGTGAGCAGAGATAGCGAACCTGGCAGTAGGCTTCCCAGAGCTGCAGTCTCAGCTGTTCCACAGAGAATTATTCTTGATTATGGACTCTAAGAAGACTGCCACCTGGCCATCTTCTAGTACCTTAACCCAAAATGCTGATACACGAGACATCAGTTCTAGGAGAAACTTCTAGTGCTCTGTTTTTTTAGATTGTCTGTTCCAAGAAATAATGGTATCTATTTTGGGTCCAGCCCATCTACACAGACACCCAGTTCTTATGTCCCTGCTCTCTAGCTTTTCCCATTTGCCACAGAAAGCACTTCTTTATATAATTATCAATAACTTTGGTGGGAGTCAGGGAATGGTCAGGGGGAATGAGTGGTTCTGGGTATTAAGAAAAGTGGGAAGAGAAGCCATTTAGGAGGAAAGAATGGATTTTGAATATTCTAGAACACTGCCAAAAAGCATTTCCTAAGAGGCACTGGGGAGACAGTGAGTGGGACTTGGCTCTACCTCAGATACCTCTGTCCACTGGCAGTTCTGCTCAATGCCTTGATGGGCAAGGTAGGTGGAAAATGGAGGGCCAGGGACACGCCTCGGTCAGGGCCTGCTTCGTGACACTCCAGCCAGCAGGCCAAGGAACTGGCACAGGCACAGAGCCACAGTCCCCGCCAGGCTGGCAGCTGAGTGCTAGGGAGGATAATGGGTCCTGTGCACCCCCAGGCAGCCGTGCTTGCCGGGTGACAGGGAGGTCAGCACCTGTTCTCTCTCTTGCTCCAGCTCCTCGGCCTCCATGCTCTGCTCGATCTCTGACAGGAGAGATGTGCTGGTGGCGGCAGAGCTCTGCAGACTCCTCTCCTCCGTGAGTTCTTCCACCTTCACCTGCAGCTGTCGGTAGGAGAGACGCACCTCCTGGAGCTCCAGCTGGCTTTGGTGCAGCTTTCAAAGAGAGAGCAAATGATAGTGAGGCTTGCCAAAAACCAAAACCAAGACAAACTGACCCCGAACCTGATCACACTTCTAGATCCAACCATCAGTTTATAGAAAAATATGGAGGAGAGAGGAGCATTTTAGACAACATTAGGGGATGCAATCAGTGAAATCCAGATCTGGGAAATTCTGCGGGACAAATGCCTCTATTTCTCCCACAAACAAATTTCAAGAGGAAAAAAAATAAAGATAAAGGAGGCACATAGAGATTAAAAAAGACTTAAGAAATATATCAACCAACTGCAATGTATAGGCCTATCTTAATGTATATATTGACAAAGCACGTGAAAAAATTATGACATTTATAAGACACTGAAAATTTGAACACTCACTGAGTATTTGATGACATTAAAGAAATATTGCTAAATTTTTCAGGTGTATAGTACTAGGTGACTGGGTGCCATGGCTCATGCCTGTGGTCTCAGCTCCACAGGAGGCTGAGGCAGGAGGATAGCTTGAACTTGTGAGTTGGAGGTACAGTGAGCTATGATCACATCATTGCACCCTAGCCTGGTGACAGAGTGAGACACTGTCTAACATTTTTTAAAGTTCTTGTCTTTTAGAGGTAATACTTTTATTTATAGGTAAACTTATTAAAATTCTCAGATTTATTCCAAAATCATATTAATATGTGAGAAGAAGAAATGGATGTTATGAAAATGGGGCAGGATTGGTGGGCAATGGGCACAGGGGGTTTTGTCACACTATTTTACTGTGGGGTCTGTTTGAAACCCTCCATAATAAAAAATTACACACGCAGGCACACAAAGTGAGATACCATTATACTCTCACCAAGATGGCTAACACAAATAACTAAAAAAAAATTATATCAAGTGTTGATAAGATGTGGAACAACTAGAACTTTTACTGCTGGCAGAAGTGGAAAAATGTACAAACACTTTGGAAAACTATTTGGTAGTCTCTAATAAAGTTAAATATACACTTATCCTATGATCCAGCAATTTCACGCTTAGGTATAGATACAACAAAAATGAAACCTGAACAAAAGACATACATAAGATGTTCCTAATAGCCACAAATGGGAAACAATCCAAATGCAAAGAAAAATAGAACATATAAATCAATTGTGGTATATTCACGTTGGAATACTACATAATGAAAAAAAAGAATATACTGCTACTACATGCCACAACATGGATGAATTTCATAGACACAATGTAGAGCAAAAGCCAGACACAAAAGGGATATAATGTATGCTTCTATTTATAAAAAGTTCCCAAACTTCATTGAGACAGAAAAAAGTTGGAATAGAGGTTTGTTTTTGAGGATGTGGCAGGGTATTCCCCATGGGGTGCTGCCCCTGTATCTTGGTCTGTATCTTGATCTGGATGGTGGTTTCATAGGTGTATGCATCTGTAAAAATTCATGGGTTGTCCACTTAAGATTTGTGTGCTTTGCTATACGTATATTATTATTTTCACGAAAAAAATTAAAGGGAAAAAGGGTATCTTGGAAAGGAGCTGGGAGTGGAATTCGGGTAGTAAATACCAAGTGTTTCCTCACCCACCTAAACATTTAAAGGAAAGGTCCTATGGCTAGCGCCTCGTGTCCCACATCAGGCAGCTGAGCCAGTGAAAAGTGACTTTCCCAAAACCCCTGGGAAGCAGAACTGGACTCATGACTCCCAGTCCAGGACCCTTTCCACTCTCCACACACCTTATTTGTCTCAGATGAAATGTCAACCTATTTTAAAGATCTCTGAACAGGAAGTCCCACAGTTAAAGTTCTCATTCTCAGTGGCAGAAATGTACATATTTTTTGCCATGTCTAATCTTAGTCCTTCATCCCGTGTGTTGTTTGTTCTTTCTCAGTCTTTTCCAAACACTGGAAAGAGCTAATTACTTGGAGACATTCCTTTTTAATAGTTTCTCAAATAGCCTCTATTCTGCAAGCCAAATATTATATACCCTTTAGACTTTTCCTGTAGACTCTCTCTCTTGATTTTTAGTAATCTCAGAGATTTTCATATAAGTCTCCATTTTTAGAGTTGGCAGGGCCACAGAGATCAGTGAGTCCAACCAACTCAGGATAAAACTGAGAGGGAGTGATGCCTGTGGTAGAGAAGAGATAGCAATGAAGGGATCAGGACTTGTGGGCAGGGCTCCTTCCCTCTCTATTTCACCCCCATCCACATTATCTACAGCCCCTTCCATGTGGAGTCCACAACAGTACAGCACTCTCTGGGAAGGTCACTACTGCCAAATATAAGGGGATGCCCCAAGCATGACTGCTAGATGCTATCCTCTTATCTGTGCACCCCATCACTAATTTGCTTGTAACACAGCAGACTCTAATTGCAGAACTGCCATTAGTTTGCTAGCCGCTAGGCACATGGCCACATGCCACATGCACAGGAGCGTTATTTCCTACTTTTCGTGTTTGTGTACTGTACCCTCCCACCCTTTGAAAGATTTCTCGGGGGCAGGTACGGGAAGAACTTCCTGGGATTTAAATTTAACTAAGTTATTCTTTTATAAAATATTATTTGTGGAGTCACTTCCGTTATATTAAAAGGAGAATGGACACTGCACTGGTATTTCCAGACTCCTGGCCAAGTCAGCTTGTGGCTCCTGCAGAGAGGCAGGCTGTGGGGTGGCTGGCAGCAGCTCAGAGCTCTACAGTTCTCAGGAAGGAAGCGAGCTGCTTTGCAGAGCCTACAGCCAATCCTTTAGGTGCCCTGGGAGCCTCACCTTCACCGTGCAGTACCAGGAAATGGTTGGCTAACGGTTCCGGTAATCTGGAACAGCCCTAACTAGGAAGGGTTTGGAGCCTGGTTGCTCAGAGAATAAAAAAGGAATTGGCAAGCCTGCTCTGCATGGTTCCAGGGATCAGCAATACCTGTGGACCCAGTGGGAATTCCTCCAGGCCCAGTTTTGAGAAAACTCAGAAAGAAAAAAATCAGGCTTACAAAAAAAAAAAAAAAAAAAAAGACATTCCTAAGAAGCATTTGGCACAATTACAAACAGTATATTAAACTGACAAAATGCTTCACAATTATTTTCCAGACAACTCCACACACATCTCAGCAGGAGAAGTTCAGCACAGACAAGTACGAGTTCTTATGCACTGGACAAAATTAGTTCAATTACTCATGCACACTCAAAGGTGCTTAATTAATTATAACAGCAAGAGAACAAAGGACCAGAAGAGGTCTGTGCTCTGGTCAATAACTAATTCACCAACTGGAACTAGACACAGAAAAGCCAAATCAAACAAAGGAAGAGTATATGAAATGAAGAACCCTCTAAAATAACAAACACCATCCTTTACATAACAAAGACGACACTAAGCATATTTACATGTATGAATAAGAATGATACTAAATGCTTTGTGTCATGCAAACTTGTATAGAATACTAAGTTTAAGCTCACAATACTCATGTGAGCAGAAGTTGGGGTGCTCTCTTCATTTCAGGGATCTCAGGGAACTAAGACTGTGAGATGGTAAGTGATTTGCCTAATGGGACATGATCAGCGTCAGAGCAAGGTCTAGACTCCAGGTCACTGCTTCCTAGGTCACCCCACAGTGAGTGAGGCCTGTGCTCTGCTGATGAAATCTTCCCACTTGCTGGGACTAGGCCTTGCACACATCTGTAAGATACACAGCTGGGTCTGAAACAAGGCAGGTAAGTGACCCTTAGAGGAACAAATCGATTTCCTTTATTGGGTATTAAGACTTCAGCAAAATGCTTGATATATACCAGGTGCTCAACGAATAGTAATTTTTATCTCGATTCTCAGGCCTGAAAAAAAATCAGAGTCAGATTTGATGAGTGGTTTAAAAATCTATTTTTGACAGCAGGAATTTTATTTCTGTATCAATACAGGCCATTTCAGGAACCTAAGGGCTTTCTGGAGAACACTGGTAATTAGTGGCAACCTAAGGGGAGTTTCACATGAACAGAAGGAACACAATTACAAATAGATAGGAAAGATGAGAATTCAGCCCATAAATGTAGATTTTCCAAATGAAAGAACTGCCTGGCTTGCTGCACATCCTCATGTCCTCACCAACAGCCTCTTGTTGGTGAAGAAGTCCAACTGGGAGACAATGGACGTGCAGATGGGAGGACGGCACGAGGCGTGACCCAGGGCTCTTGCTCCCGAGGGTTGTGCAGCCCATGGTGCTGGTCAGGCAGCAAGAGTCCACCAGGCCCAGATCTTACCCCCCATCCCAGGTCCCCAATTCATGATTTGAAATAAAGACTGAAATAAAGAATGAAAGTTTTTTTCAGGCAAGGTCCGTTTTTCTATTTCTCTGTACTTCTTTTTCTTCTCCTTGCCACACTCTTATCTCAGCAACCCTGAGGAGAGCGTCTGATGGGGTCATAAACGCTGGCCATACACTGACTTTCAGAAGCAAGTGATACACAAGAAGTTATCATCCAGAATGGGTAAAGCAGGTAGGAGGGTCTGGTCTCCATTCTACCAGGGACTTTGGGTAAACAATTAATTTTTTTCTAAGCCTCAGCTTTATAATGAATCTGAAAGTACTCTGTCCCCTGCAGAGTAGGATACAAATGTTCACTGCTATTACCATCAACCTTGAAAAATAAGCAAACTCCCTTCCATTTTGAAAACTGCTATGAAGCTTTAGCAAGCACCATTTCCTCCCATCGAAATACTAACCAGGCCCAACCCTGCTTAGCTTCCGAGATCAGATGCTCGGAGAGACCATTTTCTATTCAACATTTACTGAGGCCCTACTATATGAAATGTTACCAGGTGATGGTACCAAAAACATGGGAGAAAAGCTGTTAATTTTCCCTCAAAAAGGTTCATCACTCAGATGTCAGCTTAGCTGATGGTCTCGGCGACAAGTGATCTTAGCCTAAGATGCAGTTTCCCTGTCCTCACCCCAGGGTTTTCATATTGCCTCCCTATGAGCCCAGTGGGATCTTCTGCAGCCTGGTCTTTGGGCAGGGACCCACTTGGTGCTCAAGCATACCTGGCCAACCACTTCTGCACAAATGTCACTGGTGCCATCTAACACACTCCTGTCATGCTCAGAGGGCCCAGAGGGAAGTGGTGTACTCCTAATCTCTGTCCCCAGATCCTCCTAGGCCAGACGAGCAAAGGATCTTGGTAGCAGATGCGGCACTCTATTTTGGTGGTGGTGGTGGGGGGGGCTGTTGTGATTATTTTTTTGTTTTGGGAGTTGTTTCTTGTCAAGTGTGAGCTGGGGCCTGGTGGCAGTTCCCAAATAAAAGACAAATATGGCCATGAAGCAATTTCCTTCAAGAAGGAAAAAACGAGATTAATGAGGCTTATAAAGGGGTCAACCTGTGCTTTTTCTGGCAACTGGCAGAAGCAGGATATAAGTCTTGCTGTGTTCAATGGGCAGCTTCTCGGTTTCTGCTTTGAGCTAGCCAACTAAATCCACTGGCCCAGGAAAGCAGAAGCAGCAGAGACCATTGAGAACCGAGTACAGAGTTACAGGTTCCCTCTGAAATCCTCTAGCAGATTTGATAAATGCTAGGAGGCCAGAATGACAACCCCAGTGTTCCAGCCATGTTAATAGCCCAGAAAGAACTCTGTGAAATGGCTCCAAGGGCCAGTGGCTCAGAACACACTGGAAGAATGACCTGTGGGTAGCAATGCATTTCCTCTAGGCTGAGCCAGAAGGGCCGAGTGACTGACTGCCCAAAGGAATTACAACAGGGCCCACATGGGACCTCAGTGCCACCCACTCCCCACAGACCCCAGCAGTGACGCCGGTCTCCTAGCCCTTTCTAAGCTAAGTTGCTCCTTTTGTCTGGCCCTAGTCCTGCCGGACAGCTTCTCTGGCCCAGTACCTGTAGGTCTTTGTCATGGCCCTGCCTCTCCAGGATCAGCACCCGGTCCTGCAGCTCCTCCACGGTCCCTTGGAGCAGGTCATTTTCCTCTAAGGTGGCACTGAGACGATGCTCCAGCTCCCGTTTCCGATCTGACAGCATCTTGATCTGAAAGGGTGGAGATCCACAGGGGTGGTGTGGAGTTACACCCAGGCTGATGAGTGGGAAGGAGGGACTAGCCCCAAAACACATAGGCATGTGTCTCTCAGTGCTCTGCCCAGGGACTTGGGGCCCCACCTCTAAGACAGAACAGCTGTGAAATCCTAAGCTGAAGAGAAAACCCCTCCTCTCTAGAAGTCTGTCTGGGAAGGGGTAGGAGTTGAGCTTTGAGGAGGCTGGAATGTGAGATGCCAGGCAGAGGGAGGGAAGGCTAGGGCCTGGAAATTCCAGAGATAAGACAGAAAAGGGCCCCACCTTGCCTGCCCTCAGCTTTACCTCAACCCTACAATTTGCAGGGGAAATGGAATCTAACCTGCCGCACTGCTTTTCCTTCTCCAGTTGTGACAGGAGAAAATGCCCAAGAAATCCTTTGGAGCTGCAGTATTTCCAGAGTCTAGGGCTCTCCTCTGCCCTTCCCCCACTGCCAGCCCCTCTGGTACTAGAGGTCACAGCTCAGAGCCGGTGCCCTGAGTTAACGAAGGGCTAGCAGGGCACAGAAAGCAAAGTGGTGCCTGCATCAGCCAGTGTCCCCAGAAGGAGCAGGACAAGGACACAAGTGAACACCGACTTGACTCAAGCTTTTACCTAAGCAAACAATTCGAGAATAGAGGCAAATTCTCCCTTTTGTCCAACAGACTGACATATTTGTACACTGAGTACCTAGTCAGTCTCAAGACACATGAATCTTCTTTTAGGAAGGTCTAATGGCTTCAGTGAGAAAATAGAGGAAAAGAGGAAAGAGATGTCCACTCTTCTCTGGCTGCAAGGTTTGCAGGGTGAGGAGCTGAGCCAGTCTCCCCAAGGCCAGGGACGCTTTGCCCAAGGAACACTGCCCAGCTCAGGGGTTCCAGAGAGCCTTCCAAGTCTTCCCAATTGGTACTGGCTTTGGGGGGAAACTTCTGGAGCCTTGCAGGTCCTCCTATTCATCAGTTCCCTGCTGGACTGATTTCTCAACCAGCTTCTTGCTTGTGAGTATTTTCTAAACATGGTTAAGATGTTCTCCAGGCTCTCTATTCTACCTTGGACACAATTCCTTTATGTTCTTTGCTTGGGTAAGTTTTGGGGATCAACCTTAGCACTTTTCCAGGGTAGATTTTGAAATGACAATCTAACTTGCTTCAGGTCCTCTGAGAGCCACCTTTCCCTTTGCTTTCTGGCTGTTCTCCCTCTGCACACTAGAATTCTGCTCACAGGGCACAGATCTTCTTTGGCCACCAATCAATCAGATAGGATGCCGTCCTGGGCAAATGAGTGCGTGGCCTTTGTCCAGACAGATCAGGTATCTGGCCAGACAAAGAAATATTGTCTCTCAGGTGTGCCCCTGGGTAAGGGACCAATAGAAGCAAGCCCATTTTGTGAATGGGCCCACTATTTCCTGCACTGAAGCAAAGTTACCCATGTGAAGGGAATTCTTACTCCAGTTGATTTTCATTTAAATACCCTCTGACCTGTAAATTTTCCTTCCCATGAATCATCTTTGTTTCCCAAGTTTCAGTCAGTGAAGTAATGAGGTAATATGATTCTGATGTACAACTGATCCTTAAAAAAACTTAAGAGGGATCAGTCAGAGCTGTAAGAAGTAACTTATTTGAAATGATTAATTTCACAGCTTGGCTTTTAAAAGTGGCAGTGTTTACAGATGAAGCAAGGAGTCCAGCATGAGGCTGCCCCGCCCCACCCTACACACCCTGAAACTTGTGACCAAATCAGGCAGTAAACAACCCTGGAAATGACCCTGTCCATAAGGGTCTAGAAAAAGTGACTAGGTGGGGGTAAGAGGAAGACAGGCATCTCAGTGGAGACAGAGCCTGGGAGAGGTAGTTGAATGGCAAGTCATGCACACAAACGGTCACAGACAGGCATGCCAAACCCCACCGGAACAAACTCTACTTACTTCAAGAACCTGCTGCTCAATACCAGTAGGAATTGCAGGGGAAAGAAGGAAGGGAGGGAATGGGAGGCAGGAGAAAAAGAGAAGATATTGACAGACTTTAGGAAAAACATCCTCAGGTCACTTATGAAGCAGGGGAGCAGCCTGTCTGGGTTTCTCTGCCCTGACCACGATGGCTCATTCCTTAACCACAGTGGAAGGTGCACACTCAGTCTGGCCTTAGACTGTTGCTTAAACTTTGACTTAGCCGAAGGGCTGCTATTCATATACTTGGCTAAGGGGTCTTCAAAAGCAGATCAGGTGGAAGCCTTTTTGGGCTGGTGATAAGACCCTTGTACTCTCCATACCTCCTGCAACTAGATTCTCTCTCACAGGATTGTTCCACCAGTGCTACTTGGTTTTTCCCCCTGGCCCACTCACAGCCGTAGACCCTGGCTGCCATGTTTTGGCCTCTCCTGTGCGTTCAATAACATTATTACATTCTAGGTACCACACAAGGTGCTTTTCATGTATTTACCCATCCAATCCTTACAAAAATCTATGAAGTGGAAACTTCTGTTTCTCCCATTTTACAGATAAGGATAATAGCAGACCCTATTAAGATAGACTGAACTGAACCTCAACGGAATGGAGAAAGGGAAGATGTTCTTCTCCACCTTCTATTTGGGATTGGGAAGGATTTCTGGGGAGAGATTAAAATATTCAGGAAAATGTAGGCCACTCATGATTTCAACACACTCAGCAGTAACTCTTGAGCAACTTTATTTTTTCAGACAACAGGCTACCCAGAGGAACATGGATCAAATGTTCCCCATTTAGTTTCCCACAGAAATGTCTTTCTTCAGAGATTTTAGTCCCTTTTATACAGAGCAGGTTTGTTTCCCAGTTCAGAGGGCTCCTTATCCAAAGACCCAGTGCAGTGCCTCCAGTGAGGAAAGCACTCCTGCGCCCTCCTGCACCGCGGCATGGGGAGGCTCACCTCAGCCTGAAGGCTCTCCAGCCTGATGATGTGCTGGTTGGTCGACGAGTTTTTCTCACGGAAGTCTTCTCTGAGGGCGTGGACCTGCATGGAGAGTTGTCTCTCAACTTCTGATGCCTGAAACAGAGGATACCTTCAGAGCCAATTCAGAGATTATACAGAGGAGACCGGTTAAGGGTTTGCCTTTCATTTATCATGCATCTCTTTGCACTTTCCATTCTGTAAGGAGCAGCAGAGGAGATGCTGCCTTCCCACCCAGGATCCATTTGTTCTCTAGCACCAAAAAAAAGACAAACACCCATCCCCACCTCCACCATTAATGATGCTGTCTATGTCCAAGACCACATTACTGACCAGAGGAAAAAGGCCCAGCAAATAGTAAGCTCTCATATGTGACTTACCATCATTATTATTTGACTATAGCAGAAGTTTAACAAATTTTTACAAGAAAGAATAAGACTGATATACCTACTGCCTTAGAAATTCCTTTATTTCTCCCATCAGTTTCCTCATCTGGGCACAGGCAAATCATCTGTCTGCACTTCTCACTTCCATTCAACATGGGCACTATATGAAATTCCTGTCATGTCTGTTAAGATTTTGCTATTCATTCCTCAAGGACATTTTTGCAACTTTTAGTTCTTTTGAGAGTGCTGGCTGAGGTGCTTATTTCCCACCCCAATCCACTGGCTCTCTAATGCTAAAACACAGCAAACATCAAAATGCCATTTGGTGTTGCAGGAGAGTCATGGGAGAGCCAGCTCACTTGGTAACACGTGAACTCTAACTCTCCCCTGGAGGGCCCACCCAGACCCCACTCAGGAAAGCCCTGGCCACTGCCCTGCAGAACAAGGAGCCACAGGACAAATTAAGCAACTGCCTCAGTGCTCTCTGGAGGCCAAATGGGGTCAGTAAGCTTTATGGGTTCTAGAGAGAGATCACTGTGTGCTGGACTAGTTAGGAAAGGCTCTCAGAGGAGGTGGGATGGTGATAATGTTGAAATGGTAGGCTAGCTGTTCAATGAGGCTCTCACAGTAATGGTTACACATTCAATAGTTCTTTTTATCTTCAAGTACTATATAATCAATTGTCCATCTTTTTGTTGTTTGTTTCCACAGATTCAACAAATGTTGCCTCACTGGACTATAGAGCCACTTAAGATTCTTAACCTATGGTTCTGTTTTTTAAACAATTACAAAACATAAAACAAAATAAAATCAAGCCACACTCTACTTGATTTTCATTTAAATACCCTCTGACCTTTAAAATTTCCCTCCCATGAATCATTTTTGTTTTCCAAGTTTCATTCGTGAGGCAATGTGATTCTTTTTTTTTTTTTTTAATCATGATTATCATCACTATCATCAATATCATCATCTTGTCATGAAAAAGGTGCTTCCCTAGGAACAGAGATCCTGAGAATTCTGGAGCTCTGGGATCCGAGGGGGCTGAGAAAACTCACCCCACACTCCCAGTCCCTGAGGTCAGTGTTGCTAACGAACGATGTCAACTCTGCAAGAGCAATGACAAGATTTCTTTTTTTTTTTTTTTGAACGTCTTATTTTACTTTTTATTTCAGAATATTATGGGGGCACAAATGTTAAGGTTACGTATATTGCCCATGCACCTCCTCCCCCCCTCCTACCCACCTGACACCTGATAAATGTTATTCCTATATGTCCACTTAAGTGTTGATCTGTTAATACCAATTTGCTGGTGAATACATGCGGTGCTTATTTTTCCATTCTTGAGTTACTTCACTTAGTAGAATGGGTTCCAGTTCTACCCAGGAAAATACAAGAGGTGCTGTATCACCATTGTTTCTTAAAGCTGAGTAGTACTCCATGGTATATATATATACACCACATTTTATTAATCCACTCATGTATTGATGGGCACCTGGGTTGTTTCCACACTTTGCGATTGTGAACTGTGCTGCTATAAATATTCAAGTGCAGGTGTCGCATTTGTAGAGTGTCATTTGATCTTTTGGGAATGTGATTTTGATACACAACTGAACCTTTGGAAAAAAACTTAGAAGTTCAGCGCTACAAGAAGTGACTTATTTGAAATGAACAATTTCACAGCTTGGCTTTTAAAAGTAGCAGGGTTAATGGCTGAAGCAAGCAGTCAGCATGAGGCTACCCTACCCTAGCCTACACACCCTGAAACTTGTGACCAAACCAGGCAGTAAATATTCCTGAGAATGTTTCCTCCATATTCTTTTCCTCTATATTCTAAATTTAATTTCAGACACCAGTAGCTTGTTTTAGACTTCTCCATTACTTAGAAACATGTTTGTCACTCACTCTTGTCTAAAAATCATATAAGTAACACTGAGTGCTTATAATGTGCCAAGTACTGTGCTAAATGCTTCTAATACATTATCTCAATTGTTATCCTCAATTTACTAATGAAGGAATAGGCTGAGGAAAGTGAAGGATCTGGCTCAAGAACTAAGTGACAGCATCAGGATGATAAACTTTGGGCTGTTTTACCCTCAAATTAGGACTATAATACTGCCTTCGTGTTTTGAAATAGTTTTTCATATTTCTGTTGCTCACTACCCAAACCAAACTGTATGAGTCCAATTTAGCAAGGCTTTTTTTCTTTCTTTTCTTCTTTTTTAATACTAAGCAATTTCATTTGAGACTTTTGAAATTTCTTCTAATGGAATATAGGGCCCATCTAGAAATCATATGCTGCAGTTTCACTGCCTATACTATATTCAGTTGACTACTGGGGGTTTGAACATATTTAGATTTGCAAAGCACTGGGTAATTCAGGTAGCTGATCTTATTCCTAGCATCACCACTTTGACCTGAATCGCAAGACAACAAAGCCAAAGAAATGCACCGAGGGCTACAAATCTAGCCCAGCTGATATTAGAAATGCTCCTGTAGGCTATCTCCTCTCATAGCAATCTTCCTAGAAACAGAAATTTGTCTCTTCCTACCAGGAAGTTTGACTCCAGAGCCTGAGCTCTTAAGCACCAACTTTCAAATATTTGACTCCTTGGATATGCCCAGGGATGTACTTTTTTTTTTTTTCAAAGGCTTTTTAAACCTGCTTTTCTCATTTGAATTTCCAATAGCCCTAAGAAGCAAAAATAACTGGCCTCTTCTTGCAGACAAGGAGATAGAGGCTGAGAGTGGGTGGCGCCCCACTGATCTTTGGCCACTACATCACCTTCCATTCAGGGGGTCCATCATTTGCTTATGATGGTGATAGAGGGGATAATCAGAGTTATAAACCTAACATTTGCAAGGAGCTAATGCACCTCTCAAAGTAAATTATCTTCTTTTTCAGAGATGGAATCTGGCTTAGATCTTTAGATTTGACTAACAGAATATTAGCTAATTCTGCACATAAATTAAATAATAACCTTTTAAGTTTATATACAGCTCTAATGTTCTGAATGCTTTCTGGAAGCTAAAAGCTAAATCAGGAAACAAAAAACCAGCCTCAGTTCCATAATAAATTTCAGAGGTTGTTTGAAGCTCCCCAAGTAGTAGAGTTAGCCAGGGTTGGGGACTGCTGTGTCACAGGGCCCTGTCATACATATGGTCCACTTTGGGTTCTGCCCTGAAAATAGCCTGTTAAAGTGACCTGGCCAGCATCATTAAGGTAGTGGGTCAAGCTAAAAAATAGGGAGAAATACAGAAATATTTGGCAGCCAACTCTTTTTGTTTTGCTTTCAGGTGGCTCTTCACAATTATTCAGTAGTCAGCAGATGCCCAGGAGCCATTCCTTTCTTGGAGAAATAAAGTTTCCTACTTCTAGGTTTGGGACAGAGTCATGGCCCTGTGATCTTTTCTAGTGGTGGTGGTTGGGGATGAAATTAGGACAATTCATTCATATAGTAGAAAATGACAGCCATGAGCCTTATAGTTCTACTTCTCAAAATGATGATTGTTGGCTATTGTGCCTGACTAAGCAGCTAACAACGGTTGTGGCAACAAATAACACCTGTACGCAACTGTATTAACTCCCCTTAGAGGCAGAAAAAAAAAAGAAAATTAATTTAAAAAAACAAAAAACAAATAAAACCTGTAGTCACAGGTGAATCTAAAACAGATGGCAAGAATTTCAGATATTTGTTTTCTTTTTAAACTCATTTTTCTTTATAATAAAAGAAATTTTAAAAAGAGAACTGAGGAATTAAAATGAAAGTTAAAATCTCCATTTACCCTGTCATTAGTGCCATTCTCCAGAAGTAATCACTATTAGAGATCTTTCTTATTACCCCTTCTAAAAATTTTTTATTCATACTTATGTGTCTAAAACATTATCCAAAAACTTGCCTTTCTCTAGTGTGCCAGTCAGTGTGTTAAAGCTGAGAATACTGAGGGTAAGTCACGTCCCTACGGTCAGACTGCTGTTGGTGAGTGCCGGACTTGGGATTCCCCCCAGATCTGCCACCTCTAAGACTAAGTCTAGACTAAGTCTCCTCTTAGTCTCAACACCATAGTGCCCCTCTCCCCTTCCTCTGCCTCAAAATGCTTATTAGAATGAAAGTGACATTAGGGTAACAACCTTGAGTTTATTCTAATTTAGGACAAAGGGTGATTTTAAAACATTGGTACTTTACTATGGTTGAAAACTGTGCTTTAGGACAACACTTTAAAAAGAAAATTTTAAAATTTAAATATAACAAAACCTCATCATGGAATATACTAGCATTTAATTTTTCCCCCAATCTTTCTACGTATGTGTTTCTACACAATTAGTTATGATCACACTGTTCGTGTAGACTTTCTTTTTTCACTTAGCAATGTATCAAAAGTATTTCCATATTATTACTCTTCTTAATCATCACTTTATATGAATGTGTCATATTCTACCAGGTATTTCCTTTACCACTCCCCTATTGTTAGGCATCTGGGATTTCCCCATGTTTTGCAATTATGATGCATTGATGAAAACATGTCACTGGGGTGGTGGTGGTAGAACTAACCTGAGTAGAAGTGCACTGGACAACTCTGCTGTGTCAGAAAGGTAGATAAATAAACTTTAGGAAAAAAACCCACATCAGTTTGAACCCCAAATGGGTTTTTGGTTAGCCTTTGTTCAACTGGAAAATCCAATTAACCAATGTGTGTATTTCCTGATTTTCA